AGAGAATTTCAACAAAAAGATTCTCCTCTCTCAACGACAACAACAACAACAACCAAATAAAAAAAAAGAAAACACAAAAAAATAAAAAGGATGAGAAAAAAATATATATAAAATATATAAAAATATATAAATATAAAAAAAGAAAAAAAAAAAAAAAACAAGTTTTTTCGTATCGCTGGTGTGTTTTACATTTTATAGTAAATAATACTAGTGAAAAGAGCAGTATTATATTCAGTCCCTACAATGGCGGCCGACTATGCGAGCTAAGTCGATAAAAAAGGAATAAAATCAAAAATTTTCAAAATGGATATACCAAAAAATGAATAAAAAATATTACGTATATACATATGTATATGTATATGTACGAAATATATATATATATGTATGTTTATACATAGGGTGTCTTGTAATTAGTGGTACAAGCGGTCAAGAGGGTGATTGTAGGTGAGAAACTGAAACTCTAGAAAATAAAAGACACAAGAAATATTATTATACTGAGAACGTTTGCAATAATATGATACAATAAATGTTTCCTCGAAATATTCGAAAGTAAAATAAAGAAATCCATCGAACTAAAACCGAATCAAGTTCACGCATATCCGAGAAATTACATTTTCTCAAAAAGAAAACACACAAATTTTGAAGTTATATTACCGGCTTAGTTTCTTCGTCTAAAATCATCTCCTACTCGTTTGTACTTCCGATTACAGGACACCCTAGATATAATTGATCTCTCTGTTAACAAAAAAGAGAGTGGGGAAAGTAAACAACGGAGGAGAGATGAAAAAAAAGCAATAATTGTCAGTTTTGCATTGGCGGATGCGTTTCCGGCTTTTTCGAAGCTCCTTTACACGAATCTCATCTTTGTATGTAAATATAATACATGCGTATATATATGAAGTATATAAAACATATCAATTCTTCTTCTTATTATTATTATTATTTTTCTTCTTCTTTTTCTTCTTCTTCTTCTTCTTCTTCTTTCATTACATTTCTTTTTCATTTTTTACAGTATGGGCCGAAAATTCCTAAGTGAACTAAAAGAATTTAGATAATTTTAAAAATCAATTACTATTTATTTAAATTCTTCAAATTTCTAGATAAACTCGTTATTTTGTAAATGTAAGTTTTATCATTCTACAGAATTAAATTAAAATAAAAAAATTAGAAAAAGAAAGAAATAAGATTTTTAAAGTTTTCTAAGAATTTTTAGTTAACGTAGAAACTTTTAATCCCACCCTCTATTTCTTTTTATTTTATTATCGTTTCATACACTCGTTACATCACATACTCGCTAGCATATATATGTATATATATTACATATGTTGCACTGAAAAGAGATATGATCTATTTTCGGTGCCATGATGCAGACGTGCATCACTAAAAAATTACAGTGTTAGACATATTTCATATGTAAGAGCGAAATTCTTAGAAAAATTATTAGAAATGTCGAATATCATATGAACAATATTATTCGTATTATTTTTTATAACACAATTTTCCTATATCCAATACAATTCTTTTCGATTCCTGTTCAATTATCAATTTTTAAGTAAATAATTTTATGTTAATTAAAAAATGACTAATTAATAGGAAAATTAATAACGAAACATTTCAATAAATCTTTCATTTAATTTGCATCGGAAAATGGTACGTTCTTTATGCATGAAATGATTCACAATTATACTTGTTCTATTGGAAACTGTTAATTAAATATATGAATTCACGTATACGATCGTCATTATTAATTTGACGAATGAAAAAATTAGAAAAAATTGCAGAAAAATAAAGAAGTAATATTCGTTCTACCGTTTACGAGCTTTCGTTTTGAAATCCGTCCTTAAATGCGCTCGTAAACGGTAAAACAAATAGAAAATTATTCAACACCTAAGAAGTTTGAATTTCGCTCTAATTTCTCAATAAATTTCATCGTTTACGATCATCCCTTTTCATATATTTTCTATTTACTTATATATTCTTCCTTGTTTTTATTTTTATTCTAATTAAACATTTTTTTTAAATCCTTTACGTCGCCATTTTATTCTCATTGCCGAGCCCGCTAAATTCGAATTTAATCAGACCGGTGTCGAATTCATTTACGGTACTATTATATCCCTCTGTTTATCGAGAGTATTATTTTCAAGGTCAATTTTAATTGATCGATTAATGAACATTCCTCTTCTTGAATGTCTCGCTGAGTATTGAATATACACGTTTTAAGTGTTGTGCGAGGAACATGATCCTCTTTCATTCACGGTGCAAATGTTTGCATATTATAAAGTATGTTCTTATTAATTGTCAATATTTGTTTCGCGTTAGCCTTCTAATATTCATGAAAAATTCAGATTGTTGTCTGTCGAATAATTATTATCAACAATCGTGTAAATAAATTTTATCGAAATACATTCTTTTTTCATCGAACTAATATTCATAAAAATTTGTAGACCAAATGAATTTTATATTCGTCAAATATTATATAATATAATTTCTTATAACAAATAAATTTATTTGTATACGATTGTTTTTTATAAAATTCATATATCATTTTTAATCGTTTTAATTAATTTCGCTTTACTGTTAATTTTTTAATGATTTCATTAGAATTAAAAATGTATGATAAATACTTTGAAATATTTCATTTACATTGAATTATTTTTATTTGAAAAGCTAGTTAATGCGAAAGTAGAAAAAACAAATTTCAATATAACATAAAAAAAAAAAGACAGAAACAATTTAATTAAAAATTGGCATGTGTCGTTGCAGAGTAACTCGGTTTTGCTGGAATTTAAATTTACAAAAGTGAGTTTACATATATGCAAGCGCGACATTATCGCTTTAATTTTTATTTTCACATACTCCTCTAACGTCCTGCTAAACTTTCTTAACATTTTAAACGTATATTAAATTCCGACGGTTGCTATACGTGATGAACTAAACTCTTCGGTGTTCCCGGTAAGCGTTTATTTTTATTTTCCCTAAAGCAAATTAAAAATAAAATTCAAAAATACAAAACGAACAAAATTCATATTTTTTTTCTATTTGCAATCTATGAAATTTTATTTTAATATAGTACTTCAATTAGAACAATGATATTATTTTGTTTGGAATATCAAATTACTAGACAATGTTTTCGAATATCCTAATTTTTATTTCTTTTTTTTAACATTTTCGTTATGGCACGTTTAACTAACAAGTGGAGAGCCAAGCTGACAAAACCATACACTGTGCCAGCAGTAAGGCTCAATACACAACCGTTGCCAAGAAAACGAAAGGGTTGATATTTTGTTTTATTTATCTCATTATTCTAAAATCTTCATATTACATCTATTATATTATCACTTTTATCTATTTTTTCTCATCATTCTGAAATATTATAACTTGTGTTACTTATCTCTTCTCACTTCTTTTTTTTTCTATTCCTATTTTTATTTTTTATTTCGATAAATTATTCGTGCGGAGAGCTCGGATGATCAGTCATGATTTCGGGATTAAAAGATACATATGTTAAAGAAACGAAAAATAATTCGTCAACGCTGGAAACGCATATGTGGTAATAAATTAAAAATGAAATAAACAAATAAATAATATTAATATGTAGAAAATGTGAAAGCACTGAAAAGAAATAAAATATAAAAAAAATAAATACGTTCATCCGCGTAGAAAACAAGTTTGAAAGAATTGAATTACCAACGAGATTATTACTCGATGATTAGTTTATTGAAATCTCTTTTGTATGTTTTTATATGCAGTTAAATAATAATGATGACGATGTTGTAATATACACCACACTTAATTTATATATATATATATATATATACATTATTCAGTGTTGTGAACAAAATCAATCGAAGTTATTATAAAATATAAGAAATAAATTATTCGTGAACCGAGTTATATAGTAAAAAAAAAAAAAAAGAAAAAAGAGAAAAGAAGAAAAAAATACAAAGCATGCGCTTGAATAATTATTATTACCATTGTAAATTTCGTATCGATAAATTAAAAATAATGAACTTTTCGATATATAATTATCATTTCCC